AATTAGCCGGGCATGGTGGCGCATGCCTGTAGTCCCAGCTACTCGGGAGGCTGAGGCAGAAGGATCACTCGAGCCCAGGAGTTTGAGGTTGCTGTGAGCTAGGCTGACGCCACGGCACTCACTCTAGCCTGGACAACAAACCGAGACTCTGTCTCAAAAATAAATAAATAAATAAATAAATAAATAAAAATAAAGCATTACACATCGGCACAGGGAAGAAGACACTTGGAGCTCACAGGGCTGGTCTGGCGACTCAGTGGGCGTGGCAGCGCAGCGAGGACTCGGCGTGGTTGCACTCTCCTGCGTGCCACACACACTGAGGCTGCACCCCACTTACAGAACACGTTGTCTTTCTTCAGTGATACATTAGCTGTGATTTACTATAACTTTTTTAGTTTATAAACTTTACATTTTTTAACTTTTTAAACTTTTTTAAATAACAGTTTAAAACACAAACATGTTATACAGCTGTACAAAAATATTTTTTATATCCTTGTTCTATAGTCTTTTTTCTGTTTTTTAAACTTTTTTTTTTACTTTTTAAACATTTTTGTTAAAAACTAAGACACAAACACACATTAGCCTAGGCCTCCAAGGGTCAGGACCATCGACAGCCCTGTCTTCCACATCCTGTCTCACTGGAAGGTTTTCGGGCAACAGCGTGCGGAGCTGCATCTCCTGTGATGGCAACGCCTGCTTCCGGACACTGCCTTGAGGGCGGCCCAAGAGCATTTTATAGTTAGCTTTTTTTAAACAAGTAGGAGTACACTCTAAAATGACAATAAAAGGTACGGAACAGTACATACACAAACCAGTAACATTTACTATCATTACCAAGCATCATTACCAACTACACATAATGCACGCACTAGACTTTTATATGGCTGGCAGCGCGGTAGGTCTGTTTACGCCTGCATCGCCACACACGTGAGTGACGCGTGTGGCTATGACATTAAGGCATGGAATGACGGTGACATATGTGGTATCAGTATGCATGCATGGCTCTATGTGAATGCTTATCTCTCTCATGATTAAGTGAAGAGATTTCCTGGAGGTCAGCTGGAAAGGACCAGACAAAGCCGGACTTAAACCTGGGTCTAACTCGGAAGACTGTGCGCTGCTCACAGACCCCTTTGTGGTCCCCCAGCCTGGGACACGCCTTTGTCCACATAGTGAGCCCCTGAGCAGCAAAGTCACCAGAGGCAGAGCTGGCACCCTCTGCCTCCTCTGTGCCCAAGGCTTCCAGTTCCTCATACTTTCCTCCGCCTGTACTCATCCATCAAAAGCATCAGCCGGTGTCTCCCTCCCTCCCTCAGGGACCACCTCCCTGCTGGGTGAGGCTGCAGCTAATGCGATTAACTCAGCCCAACCGCAGCTGCTAATGTGCTAAGGTTCCCCTTTAAATGTCATTTAAAAAAGTACAAAGGATGAGGTAAAATTAATCACAAAAATATATTTAACCCAACATTAGGATGACCAACGGCCCAGATTTGCCAGGACTAAGGCATCTCCCAGGGTGTAGGCCGTCAGTGCTAAAGCCCGTGAGGTCCCTGGCAGACCAGAGCAAGTGCTCGGCAGCCACTTTGGCTGCTTGCAGCTTTTCTGTTGGACAGTGCAAGATGTGCTTGGTATTGGAATTAACCAGTTAATAAATTGGAGACCCATAATGCTCTCACCAGGGTCCTGACCTTAAGACTTCCATCCTGTATATGAAACCCAGTTCCACAATTCAGGAACCTCAGCTCTGTGCGAGGGATCTCAGGCAAGCCCCCGTTCTGTGGTTTCTGAGCATCCTAGAATCCATTATTATAGCCAGCATATTCACAGCAGTAAAAACAGGAGTAGTGATAATAATAATAAAGCATCATTTCTCAAGAAGTACTGGCATCATCTCATTTAATCTTCACAAGAATCCTAGGAGGTATCAGATCCCCATTTTACAGGTAGGGCAACTGAGGCTGAAAGGGGGAGTTGTATACTTAAGGTGACAGAGTGGCAGAACCTGGATACTTAAAAAGGCTATTGTCATGATTAAGAGCAGGGACCTGGAGCTGCCCCGACTTTGTTTCCTTACCTGATACTCAAGAAACAGTGGGCACAGCACTTAGCATGTAAGTATCTGCTGAGGGAACTGACACTACTATTATTATTATTACCCCTTTGTGAGTGAACATCCAAAGAATGCAAGCCAAAAGTTCCAGATTAAGAAGCCTGCTTTTCAAAGGTAACAGAGATGAAGAACCAGGACTTTCAGAATGAATTTATGTCCTCCCCTGGGTGGGGCCCCAGGAGTCTTCGCCACGGGGTGGGGACCTTCTCGGTTGTAATTTTATGCCAGTGTACACACGCTGCCAGCCAGAAAGAGTATCAAAATATAAAGGAGAATATTTGCTCTGCCTCCACCCCCTGGAGGAAAAGGAGCTGGTTTCTCAGCAGCTTGCCCCCAGCCGCCAGCCCTAGCTGTGAGGGTCCTGGGACCATCTGGTTGGGGCACTGGGAGAAGGCCCACTCTAGTGGGAAGACGGGCAGTGGCAAAGGGCAATGGCATTTTGCAGGTCTGAATTCAAAATGGCCCCACCACCCAGCCGTGTCCTGGGATGAGGCAGGGGCTGCTGGCGGGGCAGGCCGCTGGAAAAAGGCACGGAGCTTTGCCCCAGCCTCCCACTCCCAACCACCTGGCCACAGTGGAGTTCAGAATGGGCAGAGCAAAGTCTGAGAAAGCAGTTCTTTACTGCCATTGACTCACACAGTGGTCTGAGTGGGCTTATCTTTTAATAATTTCTCTCCTTTGATCCTCACAGCTCTAGTAAGTGCCACTTCCTGGTGCCAGGTACTCAGCTAAGTATCTTTGTTTTTTTTGAGACAGAGTCTCGCTTGTTGCCCAGGCTAGAGTGAGTGCCGTGGCGTCAGCCTAGCTCACAGCAACCTCCAACTCCTGGGCTCAAGCGATCCTCCTCATGCCCAGCTAATTTTTTCTATATACATTAGTTGGCCAATTAATTTCTTTCTCTTTTTAGTAGAGACGGCGCCTCGCTCTTGCTCAGGCTGGTTTCGAACTCCTGACCTTGAGCAATCTGTCCGCCTTGGCCTCCCAGAATGCTAGGATTATAGGCGTGAGCCACCGCGCCCAGTCCTGAGCTAAGTATCTTAACATGGGTTATCTTTTTAATCTTCTCAAGAACACAGGAGTGTGATGCAGTGGCCCTCCTTACCTGCAGAGGATGCGTTCCAAGGCCCCCAATGGATGCACGAAGCCGGGAAGAGTACCAGAGCCTGTATCTGATGTTTTTCTCCCTGGTGACTGAGAGGGCTACCAAGTGACTAATGGGCATGGGCAGCGTGGGTGCACTGGACAAAGGCATGACTCACGTCCTGAGCAGGACAGAGTGGGACAGCATAAGATTTCATCATGCTACTCAGGATGGCCTACAATTTAAAACTTATGAATTGTTTATTTCTGGAATTTTCCACTTGATATTTTCAGATTATGATCCACCATAGGTAACTAAAAACACAAATAGTGAAATTGCTGATAAGGAGGAACCACTGTGCTGTTATTGTCATACTCATGTTACAACCTGGGAAACTGAGGCTCAAAAAAAGTCACTTCCTCAAGGTTTTATAAGTTTTACTAAGTGTCAGAATCTGGACTAGAACCCTGGTCTAACCAACTTGCGAAGCCAACTTGGAAGGATGTGGAGCCTGCAGCCTCAAGGCTACATGTGGCCCTTCAGATCCCGAGTAATCCAAACTTCACAGAACAAATCCCGTTATTGAAAGGATTTGTTCTGTAAAAGTGGATTCAGTCCAAAGGCCGGACTCAAGGATCCAGAAGGCCACATGTGGCCCAGGCCTCGCCCGTCGCCCGTCCCTTCCTCAGAACTCTGGGCT